CCGAGGTTCCTTTTGCTTATGGAACATATTGGTCTATCTCTAATAGACTCTCTAGCAACTTTATTGTGTCTCTCAAGGACAACAAAAACGTTGGTGCAAAGCTGGTATGACATAAATCATTTTTCCGGGTAAATGTGTCTGGCTGCTAGTTCTACTAGCTATGTATCACTTCTTTGATATCATATGGACGTCCTAAATCTTTTCTCTGGTCCGAGGATCTTGCCAAGACACTGATGGTCAATACCATTCTATTTCTCTTTACTTTATCCAGCTTATTACTTTCTCCATCTAATGTTGGATAGTCGGATTCATTGCATCATGCAATCCGTGTACCTTGCCACAATCTGATCACCCATGTTTGGCTCAAGGTCTCTTAAAACAAGTGGGAGAAAGACATTCATATCCAACATATATTCCCATTCCTCAATCTTATATGGCACATTTGTATGTGGTGGTTTATTCAATATCTCTTAAGATTGTTATGTCTGGTACATGACCCTTAATCAATCTGAGATGAGAATATCTATGCTCACTTATATGGCCTGATGCATAACCTTATGTACATGTAAGTTTTAACTGAGGCATCCCAATCTTGGCACGTTTTGGCACGAACGGCCTGCTTGGCCTGGCTGGTACTGCCATTATGTATGCCACAGATGTCCCTAAGCACTAGACGTGGACCATTTGGTTTATAAAAGGTTCCAGCCATCTATGGTCATAAATCATGGTACACGGCTTATCAAGTATGATCATGGACCATGGGATTCTTCCTTATCTCCCCCTCATGAACATACTCATAATTTCATGGTGCTTAGGACAATAAAACCTAATGATTTTCCCTTTGTGTACATGTTACACAACGTGAGAACATATGGGAAAACTCTTTGTGCCTTTTGCAATATCATTCTTTGCATCAAGTTAGGACTAGGATGGTTAATCATGTTATGCCATTAAGTGTTAAATTTCGTGGGTACACCTATTAGGTTACCATATCTCATTGCCTCTTATCATACTGATCTCTGGCATAGTCTAGATCAATAGCTATTGCAGGTATAGTCTCTAAGACTCTCTTAATGCCATTGGTGATCAAAAATATGTTAAGGAAATCTTTCATTCCTTCTTCCCATGTTTCAAGGTGTAAACCATTCAACCTTATGTCCTTGAAACTCAATAGGCTCCACCGTTTGAGCTAGGAGAATACAAGGCATCTTTAATCTCAAGATGAATGCCTTTAGGCATCATAACAAAAACTTGGCCGTGGCCCTTAATAACCTTGGCCATGTCTGCAATAGTATGTATATTGGTACTTTGAGATTCACAAAATAACGTTTGTCTTTAAGTATAGTATGCCATCTATTATACACCCCATAGTGTACTCATCTCATCTTTCATCATACTATACACCAGAATTTATAAACTCACAAAATCTTAAATAAGACTTTCATGTTATAAATTCAAACAACCAAAATCCATATAAAACAATTATGCAAATATTCAAGCAAACATTCAAGCAAGCAAGAATAAAATTAAAATAAACCTAAATGCCATTATTAGTCATGATTCGTCCTTAAGACAATAAGAAATCTCATAATCCATATTAGTTCTTCCATGCTCATCATAATCAGCCTTATAATCGGAATCATAGATCATGTGGGGCTGCCACTGGCTAGGACTCCCACATCAGTGATTACACTTACAATATTTAGGACACAAATCATATTTGGTTTAAAACGGCACACATCGGCCATGTACTCGACCACGGCCAAAACCGGGTGAGTTCATGCGGCCTCGTCCTCGCTTGTACCATGATCTCGTCCCTGAACCTTACCACGGTTATTACCTGGTTGGTATGGACGAGATTACCATCTCCATACTACTGATTTGGTCAACTGATGGTCGAGTAAGACGGTTTTGGTTATACCGCCTCGACCACGGTCGTTGTTTCCTTACCCTCGACCGTTGCTGGAGCCACGACCACGGTTATTGTGGTTTCCAGTCCTACGGTCGTACGGGTGGTTGTCACGACCATTATGCCCCTTGTATCAAACACGACCCTTGCCGTGTGGTCTCATATCATTATGGGCGTGATCACTTACTTTGGGAACATCATGTTCAACCTTATTTGATTCCGGTGCTTGCTGCTGATCCTGCAGGTCTCAACTCAATGTTCTTTGAGGTCTTAACTCACTGTTTTCATTAGTAAATCTTTATTAGCCTCAGCCAATAATAAACAGGAGATTAAATCAGTATAAGTGGTGAAAACTCTTTCCCTAGTTATTTGGTCGGCTGATTGGTCGAGTAAGACAGCTTAGAGATGCTGCCTCGACCACGGCTGTAGCCGCGTCTCGCCTACGGCCATGACTGGGACCA